CATTCTTTGATGATGTTGCATAACAACTAGGATGTACATCACTTTTTTCTAAATAACTAACATTAACGTCTGACATAATTCCATTGAGAGATGGTACTATAATAACAAATGCTAAATCTGATGGAGCAATTTTTTGATCAGGAGAATACATTGAATGAAGAATCATTTTGACACTTGTTTTAGCTGTTTGTGTAATACAATTAACCTCAGCCTTGACGTCAATTTTATCTACATACAACGGAAATTTGCAGCATAGAGTCATCTTATAAAAAATGAATTAATAGTCCTTTTCTCTTCTTTTTTTTTCTATTGGCTTTTTTTCTTTTTTTATTTATTTTTATTTTTTATTTCTAACTCCAATAAATGAGAGATTCTTCCTACTATCTTTCATGAAACTTATTGTATACCAAACAGAGGATAAACTAGTATGACTCTTTAAGTTATTTAGTTTTGTAATAAAAATTTATCATGAAATCTTCCTTAAGATTTTTATTTTTTTGATTAGTAATCTTAAAAAATAATTTAATTAAAAAGACATAGTATTAAAACAAAAAAAAAAGATTTTTTTTCTCAATTAAATCATTTCTTCATTTAATAACGAGACCACTTCACTGTTATTAATTTCTTTAAAGAATGTGTCATTGTTTTGCATTTCATCGTATGTAGTTTGAAGGGCCATAATCAATTCATCTAAACTCCAACGTTCTTCAGTACTTTTTAAACAATTATTAATAATAATTTTTAACTCATCTTTGAGATTTTCACGGATTTTTGGTTTTTCTCCATCTTTGATACGTTCAAAAAGATCAAATTTGTTAGTAATTGTTCTATATGGTTTTTCTTTATTAATAATTTCATTTAGTACAATAGCATAACTATAAACATCTGTTTTCTCTGTTAATTCTTGAGATAGTACTTGTTCTGGAGACATGTAACATTCTTCTCCTTCAGTTCGTTCTCTTACAAGTAGTTTGACTCCATCAACGATACAAAAAGCCTTTGGACAAATATTTCCATGATAATGCCTTTCATTTTTTTCGTCATATTCTTTTAATTTAATAGCACATTGTAATAACACTGATAATTTTTCTTTGTCAGTTCCTGTGACCATATTCAATGGAGTTTCTACGTCCCATATTGTTTGTTGAGGAGGTGAAGGTAATATAAATGTATGACTTCTATGAAGAGAAGTACCTGCTTTTACTGTTTCAATTAATATAGAAGGCTCACTTTCATGTGTTGAAACATCAATAGAGAGTGATTGTTCAGGTGTTAATGAAAAGTTAGAAGGAGTAACAGTTCCATTAGGAATAACTGTAATAACTACTTGTTGTTGAGAGAGTGAAGTATTAATTAAATTTATTTGTATTGGGTTAGAATAATTATCAGGGATATCGATAGAAAGGGGGAATGAAGGAGGAAGATGAGGAGCAGGTGTAGCAATATAATCAATGAAAAGAAAAGCAGCAACAAAACTAGTTAATGAAACAACAGTAGTAACAATAATTCTTAATACATTATTTGCAAAAGATAATTTTCCTTGATTTTCATAACATTTATGATTGAAATAAGACCATCCATTTGGACAATAACCATAAGAATCACAACCATCATAAATATAATTATATGGAGATAATTTAGAATTAATAGGAACTAATGCACCCATATAATAATTTTTTCTTGTAAGATAAAATGAATTTCCATTAAATGTATTAGCTGTTGCATTCATCGTTAATACTTGTTCAAAACGAGGAGTTTTAGTAGTAAGTAAATTATCAAAAATCATAACACAACCACCTTTATTATTATTTAATGTTGGAATACCAATAATAACAAGATTTCCCATTGAATTTATAAAATTAAATGATGAAGACTTATAATGTGTTAAAGATTTAGTATTGTAAAATGGAATGTCATTTTTAATAAATTCATGTTGATATTGATCATTTAAAGAAAATATAGAAATTGAATTTAAGTCAGTAATAGCAACAAATAATGTATCAAAAATAGTCATATGAATAGGATCAGTTAAATATGTTTCACTTTTATCTTTAGTAACTTTTGGAGAACCAATATATGTAAGATTATTAGTTTCTATTTTAAATACGTTAATAGAACCATCATTATATTTTGTTGCTAGTGTTGATCCTCCACTTGTAAGTTGAATTCCACAATTGATTGAATAAATTATATTTTGAATAAATTTATTAGTAAATGAAATTATTTTATTATTTGTAGAACATGCAAAAAATAATTGGTGATTAGTAGAAAATGTTGCTGGAGATGTTATTGAAATGTCTAATTTTTTAGATGAATATTTTAATGTTGAATGAATAATAGAATAAACTGTATTTTGAATAACAATATTACTTTGTTCATTCCAAGGAATTAACAATAAATTAGTAAATGGTGTTTTATGATCAATAATAACTTGATGATTTACCCCATCCTTTTCTAATCTAAAAACAAATTGAGTTTTGTCTAATTGTGTTAGTAGTAAATAAAAAAGTTTTTATTAAAAAAAACAAACTACCTCCAATAGACGAAACAATAATTCTTCTAAACTGTTTTTCTGAAATTGCTAGAACAAGTTCTTGATTTGAGTCATATGACATTTCAGTTAATGTAGCACTACTCAAATAAATAAATAGTAGTAAAAGAAATAATTTCTTCTTTTCCATAAAAAATAACTTTTTAAGTTCTTTTTATTTCAAATAATAAAATTTCAATTTTTTTAAATTGAGAAAATTAATTTTTATTCATCTTTTTTCAATTTAAATTTTTAATTTTTCTTTATTTTTTAATAATTAGTAAATTTTGAAAAAGAATAAAAGTTTCATTAAATAATTTAATCAGACCCTTCAAAAATATTTCTTTTTGTTAGGTAATTATTTTTTATAACGTCTTCGTTATACAATAGATTAGTTTATGTCATAATTTAAAATAACTTCCCTTTTGTAATAATTTTTATCAAATACAATTTCTTATTTTAAAAAAATATAATTTGAAATACCAAGAAGATAGTTGTTTATTGAAAATTTTTTTGTATTTAACATTTTTTTTCAATAACTAGGATAAAATTATATTTAACAAATTAAAAATTTAATTCTTTTTTAAATATCCTCCTTTAAATTAATCAAAATAGAATCATTCAATTATTTATATTTGTTTTAATACTTTAAATTCATTATAAATATTACGTAAAGAACATACCCTTTACATTTATTGATTATTTAACATAATTTTTTAAATAAAAACAATTTTTTACTAATTATAGTCTTATTTTTCTTTTCTGTATTTTAGAAGAATTCTTATGAATTTGTGGTAAGAGAGTATTTTTAATAAAAACAATATTTTATTGAATAACTAAATATTAAAATATTCTACAAAACTGATTGTATAGTATGACCTCTTAAATCAATTTCTATTTACTATTAAGAAATTAACTCAAAGTTATCAGAAAACTTATGAGAAACATTAATGATTTCTTAGTCATAGTTTTCTTTTAGTGTTTTGGTCTTATTCACTAATTGAAAAAAAAAACAATAACTTATAATATAAAACTTTTTAAATACACAAAAAAGAGTAAAAGAGGATTTAAGAAGAATTCGAATTAATTTAATTGAAATAAATATAAATTTTATTGAAATTTT